TGAAAAGACCCCAGTAAATTTCCCCCTGCCTCCTTAGCACTGAGTGCAGCAGAAAAACCCCTGGGAGTCACACCCGGCATTGCTGTCAACCCAACAGCGTGTAATAGAGGCGTCGCCTCTTCTGGCCCTTGGAGACTCTGTCTTTGATATATATGTGCTTTTTCGGGGCAGCAACAACTCAGTCAGTTTTTGGAGGATCCCCCCCAAACCCCCGGGGCCTGCACCGAGTGGGAAACCTGGCCTTGAGCAGCTTCTAAGCATTGTTTGTTTGTTTGTTTTTTAAGATTTTTTATTTGCGAGAGAGAGAATGAGAGACAGACAGCATGAGAGGGAGGAGGGTCAGAGGGAGAAGCAGACTCCCCGCTGAGCGGGGAGCCCGATGTGGGACTCGGTCCCGGGACTCGAGGATCATGACCTGAGCCGAAGGCAGTCGCTCAACCAGCTGGGCCACCCAGGCGCCCGCTTGTAAGCATTGTTAACATTAGGTCCTTATTCGGCTTTCAGGGGCAGGACAGATGCCCCAGGGGTCAGCTGAGGCTTCGTCCCTGGTTCTGTGCTTCAGGTCCAAAGCAAGCAGCTCCGCCCACAGTCACCACAGTCTGCGTGCTTCTGCTGAGGTCCATCCCTGCGGTGGCAGCCAAGGCCATGACCGTGGGCCCCCGGGAGGCCATCCCTTTGCCCCTGCACTCCTCTGGGAGGGCCTACCTGCCGGCCAGCAGACCCACTGTCCCGTGAGGTCCCTCCCCACAGCCCCAGATCCAGCCTGACATCCTTCTCTTTGTTAGGGTCACAGCAGGTTGGTGGCCAGACCAGTCAGGACATTTGCAAATGCCTGTCCCCCCTTCCTCCTCCTGAGACACTCTCCGTTCTCTGACCCCCAGCCAGCACAGGTGCCTCACCTCTGAATGTGGGTGACAGGCACCTTCTCCTGAATGGATCCAGGAAGTCAGACCGGTTCCCCGGTGACCTCCAGTAGGAGACTGGAGCTGGGCTTCCACCCTGAAACACCCCCACCGACCTCATGGCCTGGGGACCCTCTTGCATGCAGGTGCAGTTCAGGGGAAGGGGGTCAAAGCTTGTGTCACTCAGGCCTCTGCAACCAGAAGTGCTACAAACCGTCAGGACCCCTTCCCTCAGACCAGCCTTCCGCTCCCTTCTGCCCCTACCCCCACCTCACACAGCCCTCCCCCCTGCCAGAGGGTGGAGGATTTCTGGGGTGGGGAGGGGCTTTGGGTGCCTCCTGGCCTCTGCTGTCCTACCTGATTTTTTTTTTAAAGATTTTATTTATTTATTTGAGAGAGAGAGAGCACATGAGAGGGGGGAGGGTCAGAGGGAGAAGCAGACTCCCCGCCGAGCAGGGAGCCCGATGCGGGACTCGATCCCGGGACTCCAGGATCATGACCTGAGCCGAAGGCAGTCGCTTAACCGACTGAGCCACCCAGGCGCCTTCTACCTGATGTTCTGACAGTAGTTCATTCTTTGTGACTGTTCCTTTAATCCTGTGTCCCCTTGCCCCCCCCCCCCCCGGCCCCGCAAACCCTAGGGGGACAGGAACATGCCCCCTGCGGAGGCAGAATATGCATGACCTCAAGCCTCCCTGGGGACCTGGTCTCACCCGTCTGCTCCGGTTCCGCGAGCTAGCTTCTGGCGTTCTTGCCTGGCTTCGGGGCGTGTCTCTCCTGTCACCCCTCCTCGGAGCTGAGACCTGGAAACACCTGCACGCTGGCTTCCTCGTGGACATCTCGTTCATTCAACAGTATTTCGTGAGCCTCCAGCTATGAGCCGAGGGGTCTGCCTCGGTGGGAGTTCCCTTCCAAAGGGGAGGCAGCCACTGCTGGGACTGAATGGAAGCGACAGGACACTGAGGGAGAGTCACGGGGGGATCCAGACAGAGGCCTCTCAAAGCAGGCGGCCTCTGAGCCGTGCCTGTGGCTGCGCAGTGAGGCGAGGAGGGCTCTGGGCAGGGCGCCCAGGGGCACGTGTCCATCCGCTGTCTCCAAAGCATCCAACGCAAAAGCTCGAAGCTGAGTTTCACAGAACCCGTGCTCGGCCCTGTCCCCCTCCCTCCTAGTTTCCCTAGATTAGGAGGGGCCCTTCCATCCAGCCAACTGTGCAGGCCAAAAGCCCAGAGCTCCACCTGGACACCCCTCCGCCCCCACCTCCAATCGCCGGGTCCTGTGGGTTGTCCCGGGAATCCGGCAGTGTCCTCCATCCTCCTGGTCTCACTGCACCTGCTCCCCCCTGAACCAGGTGGCCCCCCCCCCTGCTGGCTCCCTCCTTTCATTCTTGTGCTCTTCCAACCCGGGCTCCATATTGTGCCGAGTGACCTTTTAAATAATGCACATTTGCTCATGTCACTCCCTTGCTTGAATGCAGGATCGGCATTCCCTTTGCTCTTAGGATGAAATCGAAAATCCCAATGCATCCTTCGCGGGGGACCTCCTGCTCTCCTCCCTCCCTGGGCTCTTGCCACACTAATTCCTTGAAAGCCGGCTCCGGGGTCTTTCCATAAGCACGGACACCCCCCCCCCCCCCCACCCCTGTACAGTGATCTCCATCTTGTCTTTGAGCTTCCTCTCCAGCCTCCTGACTATTCTCACTGGAGACACTATGTCCTGGGACCTCACAGCCTTCTGCTGTGCGTGTGCAGAACGTGCTGTGGAAATCCCGGATCTCTCCCTTCCTTCTCTGTGACCCAGCTCTCCCACCTAGTGAGTGGGGGGCACCCAGAACTCAAAGCCACCAAGTGCGCACAATCCCATGTTGGCCCCAAACCAAGCTGGCTGTACCCCAGCCTTCCCCATGTTCCCCAGCCCTCCGCCCCAGGTAGCAAAATGTCCTCAGAGCTGCTCCCATAAAAAACATTTTGCAGAGGTGGAACCACTCTGTACCCCCCAGATGTGTCCTCACAGGGGGGTCTTGTGTCTGATCACCTCCCAGAAGGACCAGATCAACTAGGTCCTTTGGCTCCCGCTGCACAGAGAGGTCCCGGTGTCACATGGCTTATTGGTAAGGGGGTGGTAGGCTAGCAGTGGTTTTGAAACTTTTTAAAAGATCAGCAGAACTTTTCCTGACATAAAACTCAAGTGGAGCCCAGCAGAGAAGGCGGGGTGGTGCCAGGCACCCTGTCCCCCCCACTCCCTTCATCCTTCCCCAGATTCCCCCCTGGAGCCCGGGGTGAAAACCATCTCTTCACAAATACTACTAGAACTCCAACCTGATCATCTGCCCATCCCACCACGTAAGCTGTCTGGTAACCAGGGTCAGGTGTGCAAAGCAAAAGTCAGCTCTGGATTTTTGAAAAACAAATGAACAAAAAACCAGCATAAAGCCCCACGACTACATAATTTTCTGTCCTTTCTAGTATGCAACCAGGCATCACATATAGAAAGCTTTGAATCTTGATAAACCTTCGACAGAATGATTTGACTCTCAACTAGCCAAGGAAAGCCTTACATACAGAAAAAATAGGAGCCTACAGAGAGGTGAATGGCGGCCCCAGTTATAAATGCAGGGAGAACGGGCGAGTCTTCTAGGCGCTCAACAGTGAGGGAAGATCAACCGCAGCACTGCCACACGGGGTGGCCTCTAGGGGGAGGAGAAAGCCCACTTAATGGCATGGAAATAGGTTTACGACCGTATCAGGAGAAACAAAGTGACAAATGTTAGGTAGGTACAGAAAAACCCCATTTTTGTAAAAAAAAAAAAAAAAAGATATATATGTAGATACAGATGTAGAGAAAAAAGGGTAGGCCAGTATTTTAGCTATGGGACTGTGGGGGATTTTCTTTCTTGCTCACTGGTATTTCCAGGTTTTCTACAATGAACGTTGTTTCCCACTTACAAGAAAGCAACAGAAGACGTTAGTAGAAGACGAACACATCTAGGGAAGGAGGAGAACCCCTCACAGAAACGACACGTTGGGACGGACTCTCCTACCGCCCGTCTGGTTCCCTCCTCACGGTACAGGGCCCGGGGAGCCCGGGGCGAGGGGACACGCAGGTGCCTTGTGGGAGCCATGGGCTTGTCCTACGCACACACCTTGCAGGCCGGTCATGGCCTCAGGGGGCACGACAAGCACCCTCCCCAGTCAATGAGCTCTGCGGTCTGTTTGAGGTTCCACGTGTGAGCGGCGTGGCCCTGCCATCGCAGAGGACCAGCTTCGGCGCCACGGGCGACTGGCCCAGCCCGGGCCCCTGCTGAATGGCCCCCGAGAGCCACCCACCCACCACCCGCCTCCCCTCGCTCACATTTGTTGGGCTGCCCCTCTGCATCGTGCTGTGCTTTAACCCCCCTCACGCCCACGCCTTCAGAGTTCAAGTGAGGCCACAGAAATGGAGACCCCACAGTCGCCAGACAGCCCAAGCACAGAGCCCGTCCAGGGGACACTGACCAGGGCCACCCCTGCGCCCCTGGCTCAGCGTGGGTCCATTGGGGCACCTCCGAGCGCTTTCTCCGGACCCACCCTGCACCTGCCCTCGCTAGGCCTGAAGCCTGGCCTCCTCACCCAGGCTGGGCAGTGTCTGGCCGCCCCCCCCGGGGGGGGGGGGGGGGGGCAGTCAGCGCCAAGCCTGGCTGCCAGGAGGTTCAGTGGGCCACTGGGACGGGGCTCAGGAGAAAGCAAGGTCTGTCGCCCCTGCAGCTCTGGGGTCGGGTTGGGGATTGCTGGTTGGGACAGGCTTTCTGCCTGAGCCCTCGCTCACATGTCCCCTGGGACACCCTTCTTGACTCTGTGCTCAGCAAACTCCTGTCTGCCCTGCCCGCCCAGGCACCCCCCCCCCCCAGGCAGCCGGTCGCCTGGTTCAAATCCCTTCACCTCCTGGGGACACGGTCACGCTGTACTTGCCACGGCGACGGCCACCGTAAGCCCCAGGACCCCACTCGCAAGTCCATATTGAAGAAATGAGAGAAATCACTTCTTGCCGTCGCCAGGACCCCTCCCCCCTCCCGCAGGCCTTAGCGGCCCGAGGGAACAGAATGAAGACCAGACGGACTGAGGTATATAGTTCAAAGGTTGGTATCTTTTTTGGTTTCCTTTTTTGCTTTTGTAAAGAAAAATAAGGTTGTGTTTTTTGTTTGAAAGAAAACATAAGTAAGCCCCCCTCCCCACTCTGCCTCTCCCCTGCCCCCTGTGGGGTGCCAGGAGGGGCGAGAGGAGAGGGGCGGGCACTCTGTGCTGGGGCTTCCTCAGAGCCACAGAGGAAGGGTATTTGGGAACGGAGATCGGCTTTGTTAGGCAAAAAATAAAATTAAAAAACTTGACACGCATGCCCACTCTACAAACGGAGGCCCAAAGCACCACCTCCGTGTTGGCATCATTTCTGGCAGTGGGACTCGGGGTCCTGGTGCGGCCCCTGGCCTCCCAGGCCCCAGGTGCTGGGGTGGGAGCCCGGGCAGGAAAGAGCTCTCAGGACAGGAGTGGGGGGAAGAGGAGAGAGGAGGAAGTCAGAGCAACTCCTTCCCCACACGGTAAAAAAAATTACTAAAAAAGCACCCAAGGCTTAAAAAAACGAAAGCTCCCTGGCAGGGAGAACTGAGGGCATCCTGCTGACCCGCAGAATGCCTTACCTGGCAACAATGTATAGAAAAATAAAACTAAACTTTATCCCTGAATGGTAAAGACCCTTCCTCCTGCCCTCATGACCACCACCCTCCCACCAGGCAGTCTCAGGATTCACCAAGACCGCCAGGCCCTCCCCAAGGGGCGCGGGCACCTGCAGGACACACACGCGGCCCATGCCCGCGGCCCAGGCCCAGGGCAGCAGGGATGGGGGTACTCGGAGGGCCACATGCACACACACGCTCGTTCCTCACAGCACTGGGGGGAGGGGGTGTCCCTGCGCCAGACCAAGGGCCCCTCCCCCTTCCTCCGCTCGGGGGCAGGACGGGACCCCGGCACAAAGGCAGGGGTAGGGGGCAAATCTGTGGTAGCAGTCGGCTGGGCAGCGGCAGGGCCTGAGGGGAGTGGGGTGGGAGAGAAAGCCAGCCGAGGTGGCCTGGAGACCGAGGTCACACTGAGCCCACAGTGACAGTACAACGAAAGGGAGGAAGGAAGTAGGGCCCTCGGGGGGCCGAAAGGGGCCAGGTTGGTGGCAGGGCAGGGGCGGGGTCCGGTCTCCTCAGAGACCCACGGGCTGTCCCGGGCCTGTCCTGCAGGGCGATGCAGGCTGAGGGCTCCAGCGGGGCCCCTGTGGGCAGTGCACGGAGGAGGGGCCCAGAGGCGCGGGCCTGGAAGGGGGGTGGGGTGGGCCCTGGGTAGTGTTCTCAGTGTCACGGGGCTGCTGCCTGGGAAGGTCACTAGAGGTAATAAGATGGGGGCACGAGAGGGCAGCAGGGAGGCTGGCGGGGGCGGGCGGAGGTGCTTACACTAGAACTCTTGAGGGGCCCTGGGCTGGGGACCCCAGGCACCCACCTGCCCGGCCAGGAGAGCCAGAGGGCGGGCCGGGTCTGGAGCTGATGGGACAGGGCAGGACCAGGGCAGGGGCTGCCCATCCTAAGAGGGCCGGCCCAAGGGCTCTGTTCTTCCCCGGGCAGGACTGAGGAGAAGTGACACGGCCCCGTCCCTCCCTCCTCCCCCAGGGAACCTGAGGCGGCTGCGTGGGACCAGAGCACAGTACGGAGACGTGGTCCTGGCCCGCAGCGCAGGGTCGGGAGGCAGCCAGCTCCTGCTGTAGGTACAGTAGTAGTGGTCCTCCTGGCCGGCGGGCTGGGCAGTGGGGGAGGGGGCCCCGGGGATCCCCGGCTTCGGGATCAGGGTCAGCACCAAACACAAGTGATGTCAGCTGAGGAGGCAGGCAGGGAGGAGAGTGAGCCCACGGACCACGCTCAGCCCTGCGGCCTGTTGGGTGAGGAGGAGATATCCCGAGGACAGCACTGGCCCAGCGAGGTCACGGGCCCCGGAGAGGACAGCGGAGGCAGCCCCTCGGGGGGGGGGGGGGGGGGGCTCCGAGGCCGGCAGTGGTGGGAGCGGCATGCACCTGGGCGCCGGGAGGCTGCGCACCACAGGTCAGCGCAGGGCCTGGTACAGATAGGCCGAGGTGAAGAGCACGTTGGCGGCCAGGCTCACAGCCAGGAGGCCCCGCACCGGGGAGGGCCTGAGACGACCTTGAGGGAGAGAGCGGAGAGACACAGTCAGAGGGCAAAGGTCAGAAGGAAGACCTGTGGGTGGCGGGGTCGCCGTGCAGCGGACCACCGGCCCAGCCCCCCTGCAGAGATGCTGCTGCGGGGCCCAGAGGCCAGGAAGACCCCCTGCGCCTGGGGTCACGTGGTCAAGCCCTGCCTCCCCAGAGGCGCCTCATTCCCCGAGCCCGCGCTACCGGACAGGCACTGGGCGAGGCTGTCCGACACCTGTACCCTGGCGAGGGGTCGGTGCTGCGACTCCCACTGCATAGACTGGCAACAGGGCTCCAGGGGAGTGAGGAGTACCCCGCCAAGGCTCCAGGCTGGGGTTCCCGGCCCCAAGCCTGTGCTCTGGGTCTCGCGGCCGCTGGGTCGCAGCCCAGACCAGCCGGATGTGGGGAAAGCACCTATTTCGAGGCAACTCAAAACCATCTGCGCACCGCTGTCCATCCATGTTCTCTACACACGTGTCCCCCGGGCTCCCCGGGGCTGACTGCTGCGTGCCCACTGGGTGCCTGGTGCCTCAAAGAACCAGGATCTGATGTCACTCCCTGCCCCGCGGTGCTCCCGGCTGGCGTCCCCCGGGGACCCTGCGTGGGGGCCGAAGCGCTCTGCGTCTGTGCTGGTGACAGGAGCCCGCACGTGGCTCTGGGGTACTCGGGATGCAGCCCGCACAGCTGAGGAACTCCACTGTTACTGGTACTAAATGTTACTTCGGTCAAATCTAAGCAGCTCCCTGTGGCCAGGGGCGGCTATACCAGCGCGGATCCAGACCCCGATCCGAGGGCGGGTGCTGTCTGCCGAGGGGTGGCTGGACCCAGGAAGTGCTGGGCGGGTTAACCCACTGTCTTCCGCCACTCGAGAGCCCTGGAGGCCTTTTTCCCTCAGGGTCCCAGACAGACCAGGAGGGGAGGAGGGAGGCTGCAGCCCCATGGCCCCCACGCCCCCCTGCCTTCCACCCCCAGGTCGGAGCACAGACCTCGCCAGGCGGCGGCCTCCTCCGCGCACCCTTGGGTGGTGGTGTCCACCACGCAGGTGGACGTCTGAGATGACTCGTCCTCTTTCCTGATGGACCGGGCACTGCAGGCACTGCCTCTTTCTGGCCCTGACCGCATGTCTGCGGAGAGAAGGGGTGTCTCAGGGGACATCTCACCCCCGGGGACAGACGTGGGGCAGTGCTACCTCCAATCCCCGGACAGTCCTTGGACGTGGCCAGCCAGCCCTGCCCGTCCCAGCCCACTTGCCCTACCCTGGGCAACAGGAGGCCGGGTCCTCGATGTCCTGGCTGTGTGGCTGCCAGGAGCCGCAAACTCCACGGCCAACAGGCGCTGACAGATGGTGGCCACAAGCAAGGCTGCGGGAGGTGGGGCTGGGGGGTGGCCAAGGCTGGGATGTGGGGTCTCAACCTGTCCTTCCTCCTGTCTGGCCAGTATCCAGACCCGCTGTGGCCAGATCTTCTGACATTGTAAGGGGCACAGCAAATCCACACATTCATGTGAAAGTTCTAAATTTTAAAGGTTGAGGCCTAATTTTAAAAAATTTAAAAAAAATGCTTGGCAGGACACCACCATTTGAGCAAAACAAAAATATCTGCGACCAGACAGGTGCAGGCTAGCAGGGCATGATGCGTTTTTGATCCGTCCCAAGGAACAAAGGACCCTCAAGGTCAATTGTAAAAGAAAAAAATAAAATCAGGCAATGGAGGGCAACGTCTCAGATGGTTCAAGGTCACCCGAAGGCAGGCCGGGAGTGTCTGGAGCTTGGGAGAACGGCTGCACGTGCCCAGGGAGGAGCAAGGACAGTCCCTGTGCCGGGTCATCCCACACCTGCACGTGACCAGAGGCGCTGTCACAGCTCGGCCGGGCTCTCCCGACTCCCGGGGGGGCGGTCAGAGGGCCGTACCCATGGTGAGCTTCGTGTCCTGTGCCGGCGATCTCTGGGGGACGTGGGGCGGCTCGGTGGGGAAGAGGCTGCCGTTGTGGGGCGAGTGTTCGTCTGAGCTGCTGGGTGTGTTGGGGACCTCCCCGGGGGGTGACGGGAACAGCAGCAGCTTCTGCCCCTTCAGGTTGAGCCGGGCTGGGCTGATGAGGGGCCTGCGGTGGCGCAGAGAGCCAGAGCTGGAGGCCACGGAGCCGGCCACGGAAGGCGCCGGGGAAGGGAGTGGGGAGGAGGGGCAGCACCCCGACAGCAGAGAGAAGTAATCTGGAGGGCGGGAGGACAAAGACAACTTCGGGTAAGGCTGGCGACAAGGCGTGAGGGTCCCCCACTGTCGCAGCTATCCTTGTTACGGCGGCCTTGTTCCTGGGGCTTCTCCCCTAGTAACCCGGGAAGAAAGGCACCGCTGCGTCCAGACGGGGGGCTGAGGGAGGCCTGCCGGGGGCTGAGGGCGGGCAGAGGATCACAGACCCTTTGCCACATCCCTGCTGCCCCGAGGGCGCTCCTGACTTAACTAGGGTCAGTGAGCCCCAGCCCTGCTCCTGGAGGGCTCGTGAGTGTGCGTCTCCATCAGTCATCACTGGTAAGGGTGACAGCATGGTATCTGCTCCTGGAAACTACCGCGCTCATTTCACAGAAGAGGAAAGCGAGGCATAGCGCTGTGAGTCACTTGCCCAGGGCTGCACGGCTGGGAGGCACAGGGCTGACACCTGAACACAGGCCCGTCAGACCCTAAAGCTCACGCTTAACCACACTGCTGTCCCACCCACAGGATGCTCTGGAAACCCCGGCCCCGCACTGCCCCCGTGGGAAAGCAGCTTCCCCGTCCTCCTCACCTGAAACAGGAACCTCTCCAGATCGAGACACCTGAGACGGAGGGCGGCTCCCGCTGAACAGATACCCCGAGTCTGGGGAGGAAAGAGAAGGGCGACACGTGTCGGGCCGTGGTGACGACAGCCGCCCGCCCCCTCCATTCTCCAGTCCCCGCTCTCCTGACATTTAACCTTTGTCACTCACGTCAGGCTTTCACGAAAACACACGCCCTCAGCTGACTGCGTCTCTCAGTGAAGAGAGATCCGCTTGGCCCGCTCTCAGCTTGCAGAGAAAGAAACCCACAGCGGCCCCTTGCCCCCACAGCTACTCCTTCAGCCTTCTGGGGTCCCCCACTCCACTAACCTGCGCCTGCCGGCCGTGCTGCACCTCAGGGGGCACCGAACATGCTGCTTTTCTTTTTTTCTCTTTTAAATATTTTATTTATTTATTAGACAGAGAAACACAGAGAGGGAACACAAGCAGGGGGAGTGGGAGAGGGAGAAGCAAGGCTCTCCACCGAGCAGGGAGCCCGATGCGGGGCTCGATCCCAGGACCCTGGGACCATGACCTGAGCCGAAGGCAGACGCCCAACAACTGAGCCACCCAGGCGCCCCATCACATGCTGCTTTTCCTCAGCCAAGTACACCCCGAGGGCAGAGACACCACCCCACGTATCCTATGTTCCCCCAGCGCTCGGCTGAGAGCTGAGTGTGCAAAGATCCAGCGGCCGCCACGTGCCGTCCTCAGCGGTTGCTGCTCCACCACCCTGGGGGCTCTGAGGGTCCCTCGGTCACAGCATGCCGCCAGCCCCTTCCCCCACAAGGCCCGGGGACACAGAGCCAGGTCAACCCGTATCTGGGTAAGGGTGGCCATGTCGCCCAAGCACAGAGTCCTTTCCAGAACCTGCTCTGTAGATGCTAGGAGAGCAGTCTTTGTCGAGCATGAGCTGTAGGGGCGCAGGGATGAGGCCGGAAGCAGGGAGGAGCAGAGGCGAGTAGGGCGAGAGAGAGAGAGAGAGAGAGAGACACACACACACACACACACACACACACACACACACACACACACACACA